GTGCATCCTGTAAGCCCCCGGGCGAAGCCAAGCCCGGCAGCGCGGGAGTGGGGCCAGGATTATTCCCGGCTCCCGGGCGATGTGCGGAACGCGCTGGCAGCTGGCAGAGCCCCGCTGCTTTTCGGCTGCGAGCTGATGAATATCCCAACGGATCAAGGGGAAATACGGCTTTTCTGCCGCGGCGGTGCCCGGCTCGGCAACGCGCCGCGGAGAGGTGCTGAGTCGCATCCAGCGGCCTCGCCATCTGCCGCGCGTTGGAAACAGGCGGCTACAAAGCGAGTGTCACTTGCACTAATTCCGGGAGATGCTGGCAACTCGTTTAACGTCCTTTGAAAAGCTGGCACACAGCAGCCGGCCCCGCGGCCCTGCCTCCCCCTTTCCCACCCCAAAAAGTGGGCGCTCTGCCCCAGCACATCGCTGCAGCCCCATGCTGGGTTCCAGAGTGGTTCCAAAGAATGTTATCAATATGGTGATAGGCATTTTATATATATAAAAAAATATATAAATATATATAATGCAGGACATCTTTCCCAACACACATACACACACAAATATATAAATATATATATAAATATATCCCCTCCGCCCCGTGGGGACGTGCCACCATCCCCTGCGGCCGGACGCGTGCAGAGCATCATCAGGCTTTGTACAAACACATCTTCCCTATTAAAAGTTTAGACACAGCATTGTTTCCGCTCTGCTGTGGGGTTTTTTTGTGTTATTTTTTAAACCCCCTCCCTAGCCGTGTTGTGATTACCCAGCAGGTTCCCTCTCCCCTGGGAAGGTGGGGGGTGTGTGTGTGGATGCAGCAGGAGGGGGTCCCCAAGGCACTGGGGGGGATGGGGACGGGGAAATCCTCAGCTCCCGGCTGTGCTCCGCCACGCAGGACCCGATCTGCCACCGGAGATGGAAAGATTGGAGGGCAGCAGTAACTCCAGTGAAGAGCCCTAATAAATCACGGTGACACGAGAACACGGGGCCGCGCCACGTCTCCGCAGCCATCTCATTAAGAACTGGCCTAAAACAAGGCAAGAAAATAACGGAATTTGGGGGTTCTTTGCCTTGCTCGTGTGGCAGCAGTTTTCTGTGTTGGGCGAGGATTTGTCAAATCTTAATTTGGATTCACGTTTGGAACGGGGACAGGTACATCCCCTCGCGCGCCGGGGATGCTGCAGCTCTGCGCGTGCCCCGCGGCTGCAGAGGGATGGCTGATGGCTTCTCCAGCCAGGGGTTCTTTTCCCCCCTCCCTTCTTTTTTAATTTTTGTTCTTTCCTTTTTAATCAAGACTTCAAATTGGACTCAAAGCAGCGACTTACAAAGTTGTGGGCGAGCCTGGCATTTCACCATCAGATTTCTAATGAATGGGCTGCTAATGGCACAGGGCTTGGGGACATCATGGCACAGGGCTTGGGGATGTCATGGTGGCACAGGGCTTGGGGACATTGTGGCACAGGGCTTGGGACATGGTGGCACAGGGCTTGGGGACGTCGTAGCACAGGGCTTGGGGATGTCGTAGCACAGGGCTTGGGGATGTTGTAGCACAGGGCTTGAGGACATCACAGTGCAGGGCTTGGGGATGTCATAGCATGGGGCTTGGGGGCATCGTGGAACAGGGCTGGGGACTTCATGGTGCAGGGCTTGGGGATGTCATGGTGCAGGGCTTGGGGACCTCATGGCACAGGGCTTGGGGACGTTGTGGCACAGAGCTTGGGGATGTCACGGCACAGGGCTTGGGAACATCATGGCACAGGGCTTGGGGATGTCACGGCACAGGGCTTGGGGACGTCATGACACAGGGCTTGGGGACGTCGCATCCTGGGAAGGGCTTTGATAAACAGCTCTGCCCTTGTGGGTGGGGGCTCCCACCACCCACCCCTGGCACCCGTGGCCCCGTGGCGCAGCCCTCGCCCGTGCATGCTGCGGGGCTGCAGAGGCTGGCCAGGAGCAGCGAGGGGGGGCCCCGACCCTCACCCTGCTGAAACCCCCCTGTGCAGCAGGAACGGCTGAAGTGCCCCGTCCGGCCCTACCTGCAGAAATGATTTAGACAGTTGTATTAAAATGCAAATTTCTGCCTGGCTTGCTAGTTTATCATCTGACTTGTTATACAATTTGCCAGTTATAGAAGAAAAATTACCATAATGGGCCCCTGGAGAATGGTTGTAAAAAGGATACCAAACATTACTTATCAGCCCATTCCGCTACAATTATCCAGCTTTTCTTCTTTCCCCCCCCCTTCCCAACCCCACGGAAAATGAAACCATCAATAGGAGGCCAGGAGGCAGCGGCCGTGGGAGCAGCGGAGCCGCCGGCGTGCCCCAGTGCCTTCGCCCCTTCCCTCCCATCTCACTGCGTTCCCCCAGTAAAGCTTCTTAATCGGCCGGGGAAGCGGAGGTTGAAGACACCCATTCCTCCTCAAAGGAAGGGGAGACGGCAGAGGGATGGCCTTTCTCCAGCAAGGAGAACAAGAAACTCTTTAATGTGGCTCTGTAGGATGGGAATTAAAGTCGCCTCGTTTATTCCAGGCAGGCAATTTAACCCTGCCCTTCTGAACTCCGTTTTGCTGGAAGTGCTTTGGCATCGCTGGGCACCTCTGGAGAGACGAGCGCCAAGGACAGCGGGTACAGCCAGCCGCTCGCTGCCTGCTGCTGCCTGGGGCACCTCCCGGCACGTCCCCGCTTCTCCCAGCATCTCCTGGCACATCCCAGCTTCTCCCAGCACCTCCCAGCATCTCTCAGTGTGTCCCAGCATCTCCTGGCATGTCCCAGCTTCTCCCAGCATCTCCTGGCACTTCCCAGCTTCTCCCAGCATCTCCCAGCATCTTTCAGTGTGTCCCAGCACCTCCTGGCACATTCCAGCTTCTCCCAGCATCTCCTGGCACATCCCCACTTCTCCCAGCATCTCCTGGCACATCTCAGCATCTCCTGGCACGTCCCAGCATCTCCTGGCACATCCCAGCTTCTCACTGCACCTCCTGGCATGTCCCCACTTGCCCCAGCATCTCCTGGCACATCTCAGCATCTCCCAGCACCTCCTGGCATGTCCCAGCACCTCCTGGCACATCCCAGCTTCTCCCAGCACCTCTTAGCATCTTCCAGCATCTCCTGCCATGTCCCAGCTTCTCCCAGCATCTCCTGCCATGTCCCAGTTTCTCCTGACATATCCCAGCTTCTCCCAGCACTTCTCAGCATCTCCCAGCATCTCCTGCCATGTCCCAGCTTCTCCCAGCATCTCCCAGCACCTCTCAGCATGTCCCAGCATCTCCCGGCATCCCCCAGGGGTACCGGGGAGATTCCCCACAGCCCAGCAATGCCCGGTGAGGGCCCCAGGACTCCCACAGACCTCAGTTTAGGAGCAGTTTAGATAGGGGGTGCAGGGGCGGTGGCTTCTTTCCCGCTGGCTGATGACCCCCCCGGCATTGGCAGCCCTCCGA